TCAATGTAATTCGAACTTTTTCCTATTTTTCGTTTCTTCAGATGATATGATGGGTCAATCATTTGCTTCATTGATTCCAGCGGTGGCAGCAGCGGAATAAGCTATTAGGTTAAGCCATTTTCGTTATTACTTTCCGAGTCCGAGGGACTATTACTGTAAGTCTCAAAAATCAAAAATGTATTTTACCATTATTTTTAGCTACTATATTTTAAATGAATTTAGGACTAAATTAAGAGCTTCTTTTTCCGAAGTGTATGTGTGTGACCCACATCGGAAGAATTGCGAAGAAGAGATGCGCGCATGGGCTATAAATGGAGATTTACTGGCCACCGTCAAACATACTTACCTGGACGGGGTCTTTGGGCGATCAACAAGGCCTATGGCCTGGGCCGGTGACCTCCATTGCACTTTCGGAGGGGTGCTCGCCTAAGGTCTGTCCAACGTGGCAGAGCCTACGTCATAATTTGTGGTAGAGGGGGCCTGCGTCCGCGCGGCCCCTCCCTAATTCTAAACTTAAAATATCGTTTGAGTTCAAAGTAATTAAATTTGGGTGTTAAATCTTTACATTCGTTGAACTTCATAAAAAATTAAAGAATAATTTAAAATAATGGAGGTGTGCCGATCTTTTATATTTAACTTTTCAAAGATAGTTTATTAGTTTATAAATTGAGAGTTTAAATCTTATAGTTTATTAGTTACTCAAATCATGAGTGTTCAAAAACCCAAACATTGGGTTGGATTGTAATAATATCTTTATCTTCAATGTTAATTGTCTATTTAGTGTTAATTCTAGTCATCTCAACTCTCCGCTGTGATAATTAAAAAAAAAAAATACAAATCGGTTGACCATCCATCCAATTCAAACCCAATTCTTATATATGACCAATTCGAAAATTCTGATTGGTTCCAAAACCTCTCCTAATCCAACCCGTGAACACCCCTAACTAAAATCTTCACGAGGAGTGAATAAGAGAAATTTAACTCCATGATACAAAATTAATATTAATATGTATTTTTTAAAATGTCACAACCTTTCATTGTTTAAAAATATAGCATAATTTTTTGACATTTAGGTCACATTTAAGTTAGACTCGAATGTTTTGTAAAGTTTTAAACTCTATGTTATATTTGAAAATACATATTTATTTTATGCTATTTAGATAATTTTTTTAAGTATAAATACTATTTAGATAATTGCTCCGAGAAATAATTAGTTTTTTTAAAATAAAAAATATAATGAATCTAACGAATATGAAAAAACGTTTTAATGTCAACTTAGGCATTAACTCACCTGTAAGATTGTTTGACTTTTCGTCGTCATCCATTCCCAATGATTATAGTAAAATTATGTACTAAGTTTGACATTTTAACTTATATTCTTATCAAAAGAAAAATAAAATTAAAAAATAAAAAATAAAAAGCCCTACTTATAATTGTACTAGGAAAAAACTTTACCTATTACATTTTGTCAATTGTCGATAAAAATTTTTCACGGCCCTTTATTTATAAGGAATCAGAATGAAAGCAATCAAAATAGATATATTACTCATTTGAGGTTGTTTACCATAAATTTTCTGAAATCGAAATCAGAAATCATTTAATATTATTTAGTAAAACTGTTTATATTGTATGCCTCTTTCTTATTTTAGTTAATTACAAAAATATTATTGTGTGAAATCTTTTAAATTTAAATAATAATAAATTTTGTTTATTTATTTTACTATTTATTGATTCTAAACATTTATTATTATAATAATTTATTTAATATTAACAAATAATAAATAATTAACATCAAATAAAGTAATTTTTATTAGAACAGCTAACATTTAATAATAAATATTATTAAATTTTAATATTTTTATTAATATTAATTAACAATAACAAATTAAAATTAAAATTAAGCAATTAAACAAAAAATTTGTAATATTTTATAATAAAAATCACATCAATTAATACAAGTTGTATAATTTTTTATTAGTAGTATAAATAAGAAAGAAATAATAAAAGTGTAAGATGATTATAAAGTAATTATTATAAAGGTGTGAGTCTTACATAATAATAAATTTGAATGAAATTGATGAGATTGTAGGAGTTTAACTAGATAAAGTTTTCTATCGAAATTTACAAAGAAACGATCCAATTGATCAAGATTAGCTAAATCTTCTTCACGTACAACCTCACTTTTAAGGGGAGTGATTATAAGTTCCAACTGAATCCCACCAATTATTTAATTCATACCATTTATTAACATCATTCAAGGGAATTGGATTACACCTTAATGAAAATTACCCTCAAAATATCAATACGAACTTAACTCAGTAATTGGTACCTATCTCTGACCAGAAAATCATGAGTTCGAATTACCTACAACAAATTGTTGTACTTAAAAGAAAATTGCCCTCGAAATAGTTTTTTTTTTCTTTTTAAATGTGTACCTGTTACATCTATCAAGAAATCATATGTTGCAAATAATTAACTTTTTTTACTACTCTAAAAACTAATATTTACCAGTCTCTCAACCACAAATTTAAAAATAAAAACAAAACATTGATGAAATCAATTCACCAAAACAAACGAGTTTTGGGAGTTGGGACCCATTTTTTCTATGAGCAAAACATGGAGTAAAAAGAAATTCTAATTTTGCATTTTTAATTCGATTTATTTCTTAATTTTTACGTTTATTTTCTTATGCTCTATTCAGTCTTACTTTTCTTTTTAGAATAAAATTAGCAACAAAGTTCTAAGCTATCAATATTATTTCCCTTTATTCACAAAGATCAAAATGGTAAAATTTTCAACAAACTTGTTTGAGGTGAGGTTATGAAACCGTTGTCACGGGAACCCATTTTTTGGGCTTCACTTTGGATATGCCGAGAACAAGGAGATGGTCTATAACTCATTTGCCCCCTAAATGCGAGCTTAGCTTGAGCCCAACCTCAAGATGCACATTATTATTGATGCAGACAATTCCTCAAGTTTTGCAATAAATTCGTTGGTTGTTGGATACAGAGAACCCTTTTCAAGGCTCTCTTGTAAAAGGTGGAGTCCCCTCCTTATAAATATATGCAATCTCTATGCAACCTTATTAAGTTCAACTTGACGTTAACTTGGACTAAATTTTAACTTAATCTTTGAAGTGTGCGTGTTCGAACATCACACTGATGCAAAATACTTTTTTCAGGTCATCAGTCTAATATATTCAAAATTTAGCTAAGTTTTTCCACTGACGTGTCAAATCGTCTAGAATTCTTTTATCAACGAAAATATGTCATTAACATGAAATTATTTTTCACATACCCTAAATGACAAATTGTTTTCCGTCTTTTAAAATTAAAATGTATTTCTAAAAGAAAAATAATTTGGATTTTTTTTTTAGAAAAAAAGCTCATCAAAGAATAAAAAGAATTTTTTTATATAATTATATACATATTGGGATGCTTGCGTGTAAGGTGAAAAGCATGATTTTGCGTATTTCCCACTCTCTATTTTTCATCGCAAAGCCACCACCACCTTCTTCTATAGCTTTTTTTCCCCACTTTTTTTTGTCCTAATATTTAAATTATACTCACTTTTGGGCGCCTTTTTTTTTTTTAATTTTAATTTTTAGGTTTAAGTTATATTTCCATCATGAATTTCATAGTTTACCGCGGGAGCCAATTTCATACTTTCTTGAAAATATCACAACATCACAACATAGGTACGAGAGCATGGAGAACATAAGGTATCGATAAGGGTCCATTTGGTAAAGTTACTATTTATTGTTTCTATTTCAAAGATTAAGTTAAAATTTAGTTGTCAAATGCCCAATTGTTTTTAAAAGATTAAAAACGAGAAACAAAAAACAGAAACGTTACCAAACGGGTTCTAATGATCTTGTTTCTCGTTTCTTGTTTCAATTTTTTGAGGAATATGATCATTTGGTAACTGTTCATGTTTACCCTTTCTCATTTTTAATAAATATTTTCCAAATTATGTATAAACTTTAGAAATAACAATATCTTTCTTAAAAAAAAAAAGAAATGACAATATCAAATTTTTTGTTTTTTCGATATAACATATGGGGACGAGGGTGCGAATTCAAGACCTTTTGGTCGAACATATGTGCCTTAACYAATATAGTTATACTCAAGTTGTCATCAAATTTCTTGGTATTATTCTTGTTCCATTTTTTTTTTCAAAACTTAGTTTAAAATATTATTTATCATTTTTAACTTGTAAAATACATAATAAATATTAAAAACTAAATATAAAATAAAAAATGAAATGAAATGTTATTATTATTTTTTACAAAAAAAAAAATCATTACAAAACGAAATTCTATTTTTCTTAATGGAAGAAATAGGAAACGGAACAAATAATGAACAACATTGGCCTTAAATTTATAATTAACCAACTTTTTTTTAATTGTTAAAAAAAGAAGGATATGTTTCCTGCTGTACGTACTGGCAATAGTGCTTCAGTACACAACTACTTAAAGCATACTTTTGAGGAATTTCTTTTTCTTTTCCTTTTTTTCTTCTTCTTTTAATAATTAAATAATTAAAGTGTAATAATAAAAATAATAATAATATTGTAGATTGTACACGTAGGCTTTCATGGCGGAAAAGCTCCCAAGTAACGACCGTACATGAAAGAGAAAAAGGTTAACTCGCCGTCAACTTCCAACGTCACTGTAGAGGGAGATTCTCCAAATGCCCTAACGCCGTTACTTTAACCGTCTAGAACGACCGCTTTCAGTCTTTCTGTGTTGTGAAGAAAACCCAGCTTCTGGCTTCTCCCCACTTTCTCCCTCTAAAACCCTCTTTCTCTCTCCTCTCTCTTCTCTCTCTCTCTCTCTTGCGCGTTTGAGATTGGCCTCTCTGAAGGTACGGTTTAGATCATTTCGGTGTATTGATTGCTTTTGTTTGTTTGTTTGTTTAACTGATTGGGTTTCAGAATCTAATATGGGTCTTTTGTTTTGATCAGTTTGGGTTTGGATTTTTTTTTTCCTTTTGATTTTAATGTTTTATTTTGTTGGGTTTGATTTTTTTTTTCTTTTGGGGGTGACATTTGACTGATTTTTTGCTTAGTTTTGGCAAAAAATTCGGATCTCGCTGACTTGTCCTAGTGATTGAATCTCTGTTGTTGATATATTTTTTTTATTTTGTTCCATTTCTAATTTTAGGGTTTTCGATTTAGACTTACTCACAGCTTCCACAAATTTTGCAGATTGAACCGATTCTGTGCCCTTTTTTATTCCGTGAAAAAATAGTTCTTTGTGCGGTTGTGTCTGTCTGCGTTTCTAGTGAGTGTGATTAATTAGTTACAGGAATCATTTGGGGGAGGTAGAAAGTAGATGTGTTAATAGAGAGGGGTTTTGATTGGAAGTCTCAGTTTGCTTAAGGAACTAGAAATACATCAGGATTTCAATCTGATTGTCGATGTACTTACTTGTGTTGTGAATTGTGATGATCCTGGAGTGATTTGGAAATGGGAATCGAAATCCATGAATTCATTTACCATCGGGTAACTTTCGTGTAATCTCAGTTTTACGTCTTCAGTTTCGGAGATGCTCTTTTGTGTTGGGTTAGCTGTGCTTGAGTTCTTGTCTGTACTCTGGAGTATGTTAGTTTATATTCTGTTTTAACTGGGAAATGTTCATACAGTTATGTTGGATGGGCTTTTTATCAAATGTTTTTGCATCAACAAATTTAGGTGGCTCTTTGTGTTTTGTGGGAAGATTTTTGTGTAGTGAAGTGTGTACTTCTTTTCCCCCCACTGCCCATGGTTTCATAATCCTATCTTATGATAGCTTTCTTCTGTTTATCATGATTCTAGACAAAATACTGTTTGGTGTTTCCTTGAGAGGCATGGTGCTGGAATTATTCTCAGACTTCTAATTTTGAAAAGCTTCAGCAACTCTTGTGGCAAAGTCATAAAAATCTAGATCTTGGTCCTTGTACAGCATGGGATCTGCTTGCTGTGTTGCTGCTAGGGACAAGACTATAGTAAGTGGATCTGGAAGTGAAACCTTATGTAGGAATATAAGGTATTCGCCTAGTTGGAGCTTTCGATGGGATAATCGTGGTCGGGTGGCAGGCGAAGAGACCTCGATAAATTGGTTTTCTGATGGCGTTAGCCACAATGATAGAGTTGAACTGAAGTGTGAGTCAGCGTATGCATCAGAGGATGGAAGTCCACTTGATCATCTCCGTAGATGTACATGGCAAAAGTCCCCACCGCAAGAAGGCACAACTAATAGTTTGAGGACTCCTAGTTCAGGTAATCATTCAGATGATTGGATTAATTTTTTTTTAATTTTTTTTATATCCTCATTTGAGAATATAGTGAGGTTGATATATTCAAAAAGACCTGAATTTTTCATTCCCCCTTACGTTCTGCATTTGATTTTCCGTTTTTCAGGCTCCTGTTATAATAATTATTTACCCCATGTACTGAATTCTTTGTTAGTTTATTCTCAATCTCATAGGTTAAAGAATTTAGATCTGAGTTCTTGTTCAAAATCAATAAAGTATGGATCCAAATGAGGATATGAAACAAGGAACATGGACAGAGTAGTAACACGTCAGTTTTAAGAAATAATAAAACGGAGTACTTGAAAGATTATATTCATTTAACGCTTTAAAGTACCTTTATGAAGCTAAAAACACTACTAAATTCACCATCCCCTGACTGTCACCTGCCACTCAGCAAGCAAAGGAAGACATTGGAGAACAGTTAAGCTCCTGACTGGCACCTGCCACCTAGCGAGCAAAACTCCTAGGTCTGTGGTTTTGTTATGTGACTGTCTGTCTGTCTGTATCTCTCTCTGATTTTTTGGGTGAATTCTCTCTCTTCCCTCCAGAATGTTCTTAACTAAGAGTCACATGGAAGATACAAATAACAATAGTTTTCAGCTTCGTAGTGGCGGGATCCAATTTTGATGACATTTACACTATTGGCAACCAAATCACCAACGCCAAGTGATAATTTGACGGTGTACAGATATTTCTTCTGTTTTGCCTCCAACATCGGATGGCAAAATCCTGCCTATTGAGAATGCAGGGATAACTGAACTGGCTTCTTTGTTGTGTTTTTTAATGAACATATGTGGTAGGGGTGAATGTAATTAATAATTAAAAAACTGATCAAACAGACTGGACCAACGTAACCAGTGTTAGTTCATTTGAAGAAGTCGAGATATCAGTTGCAGACAAACTGATCGTCTGTTGGTTGGTGACCCTTGTTATGTCTAAACCTACCGACCAACTGAAGTCGCTCTCTAATGCATTGCTATTTTTCTTCTTTTTCCATCTCACGTTTTCACTTCCTCTCTCTCAACTAATTGTCCCTCCTCTTTTTCCTATAAGAAATGCACTGCCCTACCCAACTTTACCGTCTTTATCATGACCTTCATTTTTTTTCTCACCCTTTCCCTCCCTGTATCTCTCATTCTTCCTATCAGTACCCCGGCCCTGCCTCACTCACTCACCCACTATAATACCTCCATTTTCCTCAACTCCTTTCATTCTCTCCACCCCCTCATTCTTTCTATCTGCACCACCAACCTCCATAATTATCTCTCTCACTTGCACTGCAGTTTAATTCTGTCTGCTGTCCCTCTCTGATGTAAAAATAGCCACAGCAGCTTAACTTGGAGTCTGCCCTTCACTAACCATTTGATCGATAGTTCAGTCAGGTTTCATAAACCAATGGTAATCCTCAGTTTCTATCTCACCGAGCTGACTGTTCGTTTGGTCTTTGGTTCTAATCCTACTCTGAAACCAAGTTTCACCCGTGCAAGTATGTGAAAATTGAAGAGAGAGGATAAGGAACAAAGTGCAGTTTTTTTTCTTTGAGGAGGTGGAGGTGCGGGGTTGGAGAGGTTGTAGTTTCAGATAATAATTGAGGATATCGTATAATACATGTCTTATATCAGTGTTTATAAAATTAGTGGTATTATTCGTGGTTTATGCTCTTTCCGAGCTTCTTATTTTGCAGACAGAATAACTGAGAAAATAATGACTATCTAACGGTACTTTCTATAAATACTTATGAAAAAAAATATCGTACCCACCTTCTATAAATAAAATTTGTTCAAATTGTGGTACTTGCCAATACTTTGTTATAAGGCTTCCTGTTTGAATCTTCCTTGTAGTTTTCCCCCCTCCCCTTAATTAAATGATCTAATTACCAGTTTAAGAAGATTGATAGCCTTTTTTTTTATTGTGTTCATGTCTCACATCATCTTTTTGTTTATGACAGGTCAATCAAATTCAAGGAATGTATCGTCAGATGTGAGTTTAGAACAGGTAACATAAGGTCTATTATTCCAGTTATCTGTTTGTTTCCTGGTTTTCTAAACCCGTTAATCCTGGTCAATTGAGATATGCAATTTTCTCTGTTCCAAGCAGGTGAAGGAGGCTGCAGAATCTCCCACAGCCTCATACAAGTCTCCTGCAAAATTGTCACTTTCATTGCCTTCAGCTTCATCTTTGTCAACATCTCCTTTGTCATCACAGAGTTATCTGCCCCCAACCAATTCATCCCTAACAAGATGTTCACATCGATCTCCAGGACATCAGCTGTTGCGTCAAGTGTCTGACAGCCGAATCCGAGGATTAAAATCACCAAGTAGCTATTTAGCTTCTGAAGATAGACCAACGCTTCCCTCTTGGAGCAATGAATCGGTCCGGGATTCACATGGAGGGTCTTCAGATTGTTGGTCTGTCCATGCTTTCTCCGAACTCATGGCCACTTCTCATAGAGAAAGGTGGTCTTTTGATAGTGACTCATTCGGCTTTAACGGTGAGAAAATAGCCAGATCTAGTAGCCGAATTTCAACTTCCTCAGTTGATTTGCAAACATGTGGAGTTTGCTCGAAGCTGTTGACCGAGAAATCCTCGTGGAGTAGCCAGAGGATTATTGCTAACAACGAACTTTCTGTTGCTGCTGTACTAACCTGTGGACATGTTTATCATGCTGATTGCTTGGAGAATATGACACCTGAGATTTACAAGTACGACCCGGCTTGTCCTGTTTGTACCTTCGGGGAGAAGCACACGCAGAAGTTGTCCGAAAAGGCGCTCAAGGCCGAAATGGACTGGAAGAGTCTATACAAGAGACCCAAAAACTGTGTTTCAGATAGTGATTTTGATTGTGATTATGCTGCAAACGATCCCTTCAAAAGTAGCGCGCGTCTTGAAAGAGGTTCCAAAATGTCTGCTAGTTCTAGCATGAGAAGCTCCTCGGGAAAGCCTTTCTTGAAACGTCACTTCTCCTTCGGCTCAAAGGGATCTTCTAGAGTGATGTCTGATAATCACTCCTCAAGAAGGAAAGGATTCTTCTGGGCAAAATCTAGCAAAGTATGAGATTTTATAACGCTCCCGACTGCCAACAGTCGCTTTCTGTAGGTGTTTCGTGAAACAGGGATCATCAACTTGTGTGCCTCTGTTAATGGAAATATGGCCATAAGAAGCTCCATTGCATTGCTTGCAGCCGATGAAATGGTGCTCCTTCAAGCAGAATCAGAATCAGGTGCCCTTCAAGAAATTGTTTGTAGTGTTTGAAGTTTCATGAAACACAAATTGTTAGTCAACTTCTTCATAACTCCAATTTAAACGTCTGTATACATATCAAAGATATGATATATAAATGTTATTTGAGTTGAAATTCTTTCTCTGAGGTGGTTGTTTTGTTTATACACAGTGCCATTTGTGTAAAACATATTCCTTACTCATTGTTTCTAGTCACAAGCATATATTAATTAGCATACATATGTTTTAAGAGCTTCACTAATCATCTCCATACTCAACTTATTAGAATATCCTGTCCAAGGTAGGTGTGTAGTGGAGTAACAAAATTTTCAATTGGTCGAAGTTAGATATTGTAGGAAGTAGTTAAGGAAGTTGTGGGTGGAATGGTGGGTCAAAAATAGGGTCTGGTCGATCAATTTGTAAACAACAAAATAGAAGAAAATAGGAAGAAATTATAATCCAGAGAGATCTCAAAAGTTTGAATCTTTTCGACGAGTTTAACGTATGCTTGACGCTTGGGAGGGATGCGAATGTCTCTAAATATAGAATGCTCTGACACCTCGATCCATAAAATGCTTTTGAACGATAATATCATAGGTGTCGTTTCAGAACTCCAACATGAGTCATATGTTTCAAGGTTTGAGGAGGCCACACGTGTTGGGAAGAGGGCGACACGTGGCTTATACGTGTGAAGTTGTGGCTACATGCAAAGCCATTTATATATTCGGAATTAAGGTGGAGGTAGAAGCTGATCTTCTGCTGTGTGTTTGTTTTTGGATCATTAATGGCGGATGTACGTGACGAGCGTGGGAACCCGATCCAGCTCACCGACGAACGGGGCAACCCGGTTGAACTGACCGACGAATTCGGCAACCCCATGCACCTCACCGGTGTCGCCACCGCCGCGTCGAAGCTCGAGTCCACTGGTGGCGACGTTGGCCAGACGCAGCTGCTTCCGGATCCCGCTCCCGACCAGGCCGGCTCGCCTCGTCGCTCTACCAGCTCCAGCTCCAGCTCGGTGAGCCCATCTTAAGATTTTGAGTCCTTGTTTAACTTGGTCATCAAAATCATTTTGATTATGTTTGAAAAATTAAAAGATTGATTTTAGAAAGCTTAAAATCACTCGTTATATCATCATTTTCAAACACACCTCTACTCGTCGTCGCTGAACATTAATTTCAAAGTAAACAAGAAGTGAAGTTGAAAATTTGAGAGATGAGGTGATGTGTTTGCAGTCAGAGGACGACGGGCAAGGTGGGAGGAGGAGGAAGAAGAAAGGGTTGACGCAGAAGATAAAGGAGAAGTTAACCGGGAGCGGGAAACACAAGGGCGAGGCTGCCCCGGCACCGGGCTGCCACCAGTACACCACCGTGGAGGCGAAGACGACGTCGACCGTCGACGTGGAACCACATCATCAGGATCGTGAGAAGAAGGGGGTTATGGAGAAGATCAGGGAAAAATTGCCAGGTCACCATTAATAATTTCACTACTGTCCCTGATCTCCTTGGAGTTTGGATATATGGTTTCCAAATTCCAACTGTCTTTGTAATTAGTTTAATTTGGTTATTTTGTTTTTGTTGGGGTCTGAATTGTAATATGTCACTATGTTGGTAGTGGTACATATATTTGTGGCTTTCTGGTTTTGTTTGAAAGCTTTATGTGCTCATCTCTTCTTTTCTTTGCAACAACAAACTTTGTTTTTCTCAAAATAAAATAAATGAAATGAAATGAACTTTGTCTCCCATTTTCCTTGCATCAAGATTAATTAATTTTTTATTTTTTGAAAGATCATATTCAATCTCTTCACAATTTCTTCAAAAAGGGTCTTTTTACCAATCTAATATTGGTATATTTTTAAAATATAATTTTAGTCATCTAAATTTAAACTAAATTAAGTTCTCCCTGCTGATGACATATCCATATTTTTATTGGGTTGGGTTCGACATCGATACGAAGGAAAAAAAATAAATATCCGCTTATATCCATCACTATTTTGTGGATATTTTCATGTATCAGACATTTTGTTATATTTTCATAAACATTTAAATCCTCCCTTTAAACTCATTCTAAATAAACTTTCATCGATATTTTCATCTCAATTTTCATGAATTGATATCTCACTATTTCCGTCGACATCTAAACTCATCCAAGATAAATAAATATTTTTTTTTCACGTCATTCAAAAATACACCGTTGGATAAATATTCCTTTCTTGTGTAGCCGACCATAACATATTTTTATTGAAGTTTAGTTTCGGTCGACAGGGGTCAAGTGGTCATTTCTTTTACTTTTAATTTTATATAGTTAATATAAGTTTTTCCTGTACATTGATGGATAGAGATTATAATTACATGAAATGATTGAAATTTATGAAACAATCTAAAAAGAGATCAATCTATTTTAGATGGTATCCATTACTCAATTTAGTATGCATTAGTATCTCACTTTAATATTAATTAATTTTTAAATAATTAATATCTAAAATTGATTAGTTTGGAGATTACATTTTAAATCTCTTAAATTCCAATTTAAATTTTGTCTAATTAGACTTTTCAAAAGTAAAAAATACCAGAAAAAATTCGAAAACCTCTCTCCTCCGACTTTTCTTCTTCTGTCGTTCTGTTTCCGTCCATTCCTTCGTCTCCGATCGTCGTCTACGTTCCTTCGTTTCCGACTGTTATCTTCGTTCTTCTTTGTCGTCGGAACAATCCGTCTAGCTTCTTCTTCGTCTCTAGTCACCCGTCCATTGTTTCCATTCGTTTATCCTGAGGCTTCTTTTTTATCGTCGGTTGTCCGTTGATCATTCGAACCCTCCGTTTATCCCAACTATTGTCTAGTCGCCGACCAGAAGTTTTGTAGGTTATTTGTTTTGTTTGTTAATTGTAGAAGGATATAGCCGTATATACTTTATAGTCAGATATATGTTATATCTCTGTATATTATAATTGCTATAGTTTATATCACTATTATTAAGTATATGTTGCTTAAGTTTATAATCGGATATAGTTTATATTTCTATATAACTTAAAATGTAATCGAATATAGTTTATATATATATATATATATATTCATATAAGTGTGTGTTATAATGACTATATTATTGAAATTTGGCCAAAAATCGTAATAAAATGAAAAAATATTTGTAATAAATTTCATTGTTTAGTAGAATATATTAAGGAGTAAATTAGGAGATTGTGAGAATGATTGATTTAGGTCCCACAATAATTTAATGTTTGCAAAATCAAATTTGGAATATTAATCTTTTGCATTTAAATAGAAGACGAATTACAATAAATATAAATGTTATAAATAAGGGTAAATTTGGTATTTGAAAAAAGTTTTAAATCCAGAAATCTAAGACTGTAAAATTTGTAAACATTAGATATTTATGAAAATAAATTTCCAAAATAGCTTATCTAAGACATTATCTCTAAATTTTAAGACCCATAAATTTAGTCCATATGGGAAGTACAATGTGTGCTTCATGATTGGAAAAGAAACTTAGAAGTACATCGTGTGCAACAATCTTTCCTATCCTATATAAAAGGATTCTATGATTGGAAAAGAAACTTAGAAGTACATCGTGTGCAACAATCTTCCCTATCCTATATAAAAGGATTCTATGATCTTGAATGGGTAAGATCGCAAATTCACCCTAATAAAAGGAGGGGAAGAAACTTGGAAGGATTCCATGATCCTAAATCGATATTACTTGGATCACTCAGGATAAAAGAAACAACAAATTCACCCAAGATAAAAGAAACAACATGTAGAATCAATGAGATTCATAATATCGAATCGGTGATAAAGTAGTACTTATCTTCAATCGGCTTAAATGATTATAGTTGAAGCACTCAAATCTACTTGATAAAAGAAGTACTTATCTTCATGGTTGAAGCACTAATCTTCTTCAATCGACTTACTTGATAAAATAAGTACTTATCTTCATGATTGGAACACTTATCTTCTTCAATCGACTTACTTGATAAAAGAAGAACTTATCCTCATCGTTGAAACACTTATCTCAGATCATTCGAATCTTCCCCTTAATATTTACTTTTCGTAAATTTGACCAATAAATTTAAAGATAATTTTTGGAAGTTTAAACCTAATAGTTGAATAATATTTGTATTATTTTCTTTTATGACAATTGAAAAAAACAAGTATTATAATATTTTCCCTCACCTCCACTCTACTTCTGCAGTTGACTGTTTTTTGACAATTGAAAGACAATTTGCCAATTTTGTGCTGCTTTCCGCTCATTGAAAAAGCTTGTGCCTTTTCCTTTTTGAGCCCACTTCCCAAGTCCCAAAGAACACCAAAAGCGCTTCTTCTTCACGGATTGCCCGCTCACTGATTTGCCCTTTTCTTCAATCCCATTGCCACTCCCTGCTTCTCTCTTTCTCGTGCGCGCCAACAATGTTCTCACTTTCGCGTTCGCTCTCTCAATCTGCCACCAATTTTCCCTCTGTTTCCACCGCTTCAATCCCCTTTAAACCCACCTCCCAATCGCCCCATTTCCCCACTTCTTCCCCCCAATCTCCTCCTCCCCTCTTCGTCTCTCTCCCTCGCCGCGGTTCCAAGTTCAGTTCTTCCGTAATGTCGTCCAATTCCCACTTCTCTAACGATGTCGACTCTGCCATTGACGTGGGTTTCGAGGGCCACGACCTGGACCGCTTTGCGGAGGTTGCCAATAAGGTCGCGGATGCTGCTGGGGAAGTGATTCGGGGATATTTTCGCAGGAAATTTGAGATCATCGATAAGGCGGATTTCAGTATGTGTTTTACTGTTTTTGAGCTTTTTCGTGGTTTAGTTTGATTTGGAGGGTTTTCTATTCTTTGTTTAGGTGCTGATAAAATTCGCTAAAGGGGGAGAGGGCTGAAGTGCTAATCGTTTTGTGTGTCGTTTTGTTACTGTAGTGGAAATGTTTTTGAAATGCCAAGGTGAAATTTTTAACAGAATGAAGAGCGAGGGAAAAGATTGTTGATTAGGTTAGAGGTTCGATGGCAGATCAATTTCTTTCGTGAGAAAAGTGAAGTGGAAATTTTTTTGAACGTGGTTATAGTATTTGTTTTTGCATGCTAATATACGTCAAGCCAAGGAAAAGGAAAACAAGAGAAAATCGTACTTGAGATTTTGAAGTTCTCTGTCTTCAATTCTTCCAGCCCAAGGCATTGATTCTTTTTGATAATGCACACAATTCCAAGACATTTTTTCTCCCAAGAAAGATTATTAGAGACTCTCCAATTGTCAAAATGGAGATTACGTAGCATAATTTTGCCAGGAATTGATTACCAATGTACAAAAATCAGGCACCTGCTTTAGTTCTTAATGAATATGGGTGTCTTGTGTCTTGTTTACTATATTTCCTTTTTTTTTTCTTTTGGGTGCCTCTTTGATGGGGCACAACTGCTTAGAAGGTCATTTCCGGACGTTTGTGTACCTAATAACAAAGGCATGATTTTGGAGCTGTTTCTGTATCGACGCAGGTCCTGTGACTGTGGCTGATCAAGCGGCAGAGGAATCTATGGTTTCAGTTATATTGGACAACTTTCCTTCTCATGCTATGTTAGTTTGTCCCTTCAATTCTACCTTTTTTTTCCTTGGCCTTCTGAAGCGAATGCTGAGTCTTGCTCAAGGCTATTGCTTCCTGATTTTCAATCCCTTCAGAAACTCCTATGTTTAACTCTATCTGAAAAACAATGATGTTAATCTATAATTTGCCATATCGTTAAATAGATGTGTTTGCAATTGCAGTTATGGTGAGGAAAAGGGATGGAGGTGCAGAGAGAATTTAGCAGATTATGTTTGGGTTTTAGATCCGATAGATGGGACAAAGAGTTTTATTACTGGTACTTTCCCAGTGTTCGTGTTCCTTTACCTGATTTAGTCTGTTATTGATCATCAGAATGTTTCAGGAAAGCCCCTGTTTGGCACTCTCATTGCATTGTTATATAGAGGGAAACCTGTAAGGACAATCAATCATCCTCGTCCTCTCTTATGCATCGTTATACTTCCTCTTTATTTTGTACTATTGTGAATTGTTTAACCTCATTTCATAATTGTTGAAAAAATCCCCACATTGATTTCAAATTCAAATAATTTTTGTGAATCGAATGGAAAAGAATTATATTAATGGTATTGTGAAATTATAAATGAAAAAGTGGAGTGAAATTTTCTAAAAAGTTCCAATATTTTACCTTTTATCTAGTATAGTAATGATAAGATTGGTTATTAATATTCAGATTTTGGGCGTCATTGATCAGCCAGTTTTGAAGGAAAGATGGATAGGGTTAAGTGGAAGGACAACTACATTGAATGGTCAGAATGTATCCGCACGATCTTGTTCAGACATATCAAAGGCCTACTTGTATGTTATCCTTTTTATGGTGTTTTCTTCTCTTAGCTTCAGAGTTAAGATTATTCCTTCATTTGTCATGGTGAGCAATAGGATTTTCATTTGTTTTACATTTGTTGTATGCCCCTTTTTTGTTTTGGGTTGTGCAGAGATATTAGTGGCAGCGTAGAGATTTTACCTTCTTTTTATGTTAGTTCCCATAAAAAGAAATTTCTTATTTTTAGTTACTTTTGGTTCTTTCTTATGGACCCTGTGTAGATATACTACAAGCCCACATCTATTCAGCGGAGAAGCAGAAGAGGCATTTGCTCGTGTGAGTAATAAGGTATGTACAATGACGAGATAACTTCAATAGTCTCAATGTTCCTCTCGTGGTCAACATGATCGGTGACTTTTCTCATTTTCTAGTAAAAACATTAAAAGTTCACTTGATGTTTTATTTGGTCCAGTTGCCACATGGTTAGAAAGAAACCATAGATTCTTTCTGTAGGAAAATATGTAGAAATTTTTCATCTCAGAGGGAGGGGAATGAAGTATGTGTTTCAGGTATGCCGGGTTATAGCAATAGGTTCATTTCCTTAGCCTAATGGGCAGCTTATACTCCGCCATTTGGCCTTATCTTCTACCAATTGGGCCACTTCTATTTTCTGATTAGTATCAACAGTTTACTAAGCACAATAGCATACTGAACACGAAGTTGATTCTCGATGTTTTAACTCAGCTAAGCAATCTACTATTCCTCCTATTACTACCCAATCAAACGATATTATACAATTTAAAGGAAGTACTCTCTCATCTGCTGTAACTATCTCTCCTATGGCGATTTGATTTCTTTTGGTTACCATTGCTCACGTAAGTATGTGCAAATCAAGGTCTAACATTACCCCTAGAGTATAACATTGCCTCGTCCTTGAAATTGATCCTTGACAAGGCCTCTAGGTTCCCAAGAGGCTTCAAATGCTGGAAAATCCTTCCATTTGACTAGTACTTTCCTTTTCCTCTAATCTGACAACTAATGCACTTACAGGACATTTCTTGGTCAATTGCCCACTTCAAATAGCAACCAAAAGAAAAGGTAATGAAAGTTGGAAAAATCAATTGGTGGCATACGTACTATATTTCACCATGGGCTGGGTAATTCTTGATAATTTTAAAAAATATGACAACTCATACAATTATTAGGACAACATCACTCCCTTGCCTTAATTTTCCCATGGCGACACTGTTTGCCAGATCAAGAAAGTTAATAGAATTGATTCCAAGAAGTTTTCCTTTGGCCCATTGATCCAAAAGAGATCTTGAGCAAGTTTGATATTAAATTTATAATCACAATTTGGTGTTCTTGTACAGGTAAAAGTCCCCCTGTATGGTTGTGACTGCTATGCGTATGCACTTCTGGCTTCTGGTTTTGTAGATCTTGTGGTCGAATCTGGTCTCAAGGTAATTGGTTAGTCTGCCATATGCATAGTTTACTGACTATACATGAGCAATAGTCAAGAAAAACAAAATGGACGGAATATCATCTTAAAGTCCTTGTGAAACATTCTTATAACTTGAGCTACAAATTAATATGGGCATTTTATGCATCATTGAACTGCCTGGCATATGAAGATCTGATCAATATAGTTTCTTATTCTTTCAGCCGTATGATTTCCTGGCTCTTATACCAATAATCAAAGGTGCTGGGGGTGTAATAACTGATTGGAAAGGGGATGAGCTTCATTGGGAAGCCTCTCCCAATTCCCAAGCAACAAGTATGTACCTCTCATAAGTTAACTAGAACTGTATCTGTTTTCTGTTTACTTTTTCTTTATGGTCTCGGGATTTTGGTTGAGTGATTTACATCCAATTCCATGGTTTGTTATCTAATGAAAGTGAATGATTTGAAATCTTAAAAAATTTTCCTTACCAAAACAATGGGATTTTGTTGGATCCTTAGAACTTTAAAGTAAATAAACCCTGTCATATTTTAATTTAAGTAATAATTAATATTAAAAGCCTATGTCGGTAAACTTTTTATTTTATTTTCCTGTCCAGCTAAACATTCAAATAAAGGAATTTAATTATTTTATTTAAAATCATTTTTTGAACTTTCTTGATCTATGAAGGGTTTAGAGTGGAATAAAGCAGCCAAGTCGATTCAGATGAGTCTCATTTAAGTGTCCTTTTTACGTGAAACTGAACTGATCCTTTATTCCAGGTTTTAATGTGTTAGCAGCTGGGGATAAAGGTATACATCAACAAGCGCTTCATTCATTAAGATGGCTCTGAGAATACTTACAAGAGAAGGATAATTCAATTCAAAGCATATCTAGTGCAGGTTCATCTTTATCATCATGTGTTGTTAGTGTCTATTTAAAGTTCAATTTTAATACAAGGAGCAGATCTCTCCCTCCTCTCCCCTTCAACATCCTTCATGTTAAGATAGGGGAGACAACAACTCTCTTTTTCTGGAGTCTACTGCTTTTTAACAAAGCCATTAGATGTTAATAAATAATTGAAATTGCCACCCAAATGGAGATCATGTTGCATACTGTTCCTTTGTATTCCCTTGAATTGGTTAGTATTGAGCACTTCTGGGAGGGAATTGCAGTTTCAGACCATGTTGATACCCAATATGGAGGAAAAACTGAAACAGGAGGAAATTATCTTATAACAAATCATCCACAGGAGCAAGAAACTTGAAGCTTTTTTCTTCTTATGTTGGTCAACTACCTCTTTTGTACCATGGGGAAAGTGGATTTCCTTTTATTCTATACAAGTTAAAGAATCTAAAAAGTACACCTGTTTGTGAAGTGTGATTCTCTGTAGAATAGGTAGATTATAAAAAAAGTAATTTTTCGAAATCTATTTTAGAACTTCTTTCATTATTATACATTATTTATCAACTTAACTAAAAATTTGTTGAGATATTTAATTGACCACTGTCATCTGATAGTGTAGGTGGTTTCCAAAAGGTCGATACTTCTGTTTTAGTGTTACAATCACTCTAGCTTCTAAATTGAATGCTTGGAAATATGACAACATTCTATAGCTTGCTACATTTGAACTCATAGTATAGGACAAGGAGAGAATAATCGAAGGGTCACCTAACTCCAAAAATACACATTAAGATCTAAGAAAAATTATGAAGCGCCTAAAGAATATCACCATTTCTCCCTAACTGAACAAAATTAGGTTAGCAGTCATCGGTTAAGTCCGAGAAGCAGATTATTGCAATCTTTTCTTCTTGTTGGCAGCTGCATCCCCATCATCAAACATGACGAAGTCGTCATCATCGTCATCAAGCACTTCGAGTTTCTTTGAGCTATTAGCTTCATTAGAAGAACTTGATATATCGACAGTGGAAGATGCATCGTCCAGTTTTCTTTTCTTTCCAGAAGCAACATTGTCCGAGTCATCGTTTGTATCAGCATCTGCAGCCAATGGCAATGTCTTCGAGGTGCTTTCTCCATTGCCCAAAGACTTGCTGCTATCGCCCTTTTCCAGTGAAGCTTGTTCCCATCCAGATAGAACCATTCCATCTGGTTCCTTCTCCTCATCAAATTCATCTCTGCACGGTATATATGTGATTATTGTAATAGTAGTTCAAGCTTACAAATATAAAGATGGAAATTTATTTTTATAGCGCATGAGAGCACTGTATTCAATAAAAAAGCAATTAGCTTTAATCCGATACCCAGAACACCTTTATAAAGGAAACAGAGATCAATCTTCTTCTGTGTAGCTACCACCTATCCATGATGTTTGTAGATAAAAATATAAAATGGAATGTGCAAAATGGGTGAGTTGAAATACCTGTGTTTAATGTTGATACTGCAGCTAAGCTCTTGTTGGAGATCCTCAACAGATAATATCGTCCCGCTAACGACAGGTGAAGGAAACTCCGTTAGCACCTGAAATATGCGCATGAAAGGGCAAATTTTCATGGGAACAAAGGGCCAAAGATTTGATGGATTTAACGAGATAAACAAACCTTCTCAAGGTTTGCGGCGTAATTTGCCGCCATGTCCTGATCAAGATCATCGCCAACTTCATAAAGAAGGGCAGTTCCATGCATAATAAGTGGAAAGTTCATTCCAAGCTTGGCCTTGACAATCTTGTCGACAAAATCCCGCAGCTTTGCCTGACGAGTATTTATCTCAAGTGATAGCGGTGTCTGTTTACATCACAATATATGCGAGCAAAGTGTAATTCTGCAATGAACTTCCACAAAATAATCCAACAAAGCTACTTGAGGGTGAAAACTAATAAAAGTACCTCAGAACAGACGTAGCAGGACTTATTAGGTTCAAAAGGTTCCACTGGCATAAGTAGCATTTTCCTTGAAGGATGTTCGAGACAATACGTCATCCTATCTCAGAATTTAAGTTAAAATTAGATTCGAGAGAACTAGAAGACTAACAGTAAATTCAAAACAATCTTTCTTACTTTCTCAAGATATCACCAGCATTCAAATGTCATGTCCGATAGAACATAGAATTCCGAATAATACGGTATCAGAAGAGTAAAAAGATGTAAACACAGACATAAGATACCGTGTAAATGAAATTACAAGATTGAGTTGAATAAACCGATGAACAAGCACAGAAATAATAAACCACATAACAAGATCCCATAGCATCTATAAAAGATCTCTAAAGTACAATGTCTAAGATTAAAACAGAACATAAAGAGAAATCTCGTTTTTATTAAGAGCAATGTGAAGAAACTCCACACACCTGTAATTGTTTGCATCGTTTTGCAGCACCTTAATCGCCTCGATCACAATCAAGCCAGCAATAATAGCGTTAGTTGTTGCAACAGCATGCACAATGTTACCCGCAATACCTTTAGATTCGAAAAGGCTATGCATTGGAATACCGAAAGATTCTGCTCTAATGTTTGCAGCAGCAGTGACAAACTCCACAGCTAACTGATCATCTTTATCAAAAGTCAAGTTCCCAACATCCTGCATAGCATACCCCAGAAGAAGTTTTAGAAGGTCCACAGACCTAAGACTTGCTGTGACAAGAATATCAAGAAATCCAAAGGTTTTAATCATAAAACAAGAACTTAAAACCAAACCTTTTCCCGTTTCGTGAAAAACAGTTTAATAGCCTCGATTAAGATTCTGGAATTTTCCATAAGACTCCATATCTCCTGGGGATTTTTCATGCCCAGAGATGTCGTGGCAGAAATTAAGGATTGGCCATCCTCGGCACAATTTTTGTCCATGTTTCCATTCTGTTTAGTGGGCTCATCAGGCAGGATGTCCCTACTATAAATAGGCCGAGGTTTATTGCGATTTTTCCAAGTATCTTGGTTAGATAAAGCTGCTTCAATGTTGTACCCAAATACATGATCAAATACTCTTCTTCCATACTGCTCAATGCTTTCCTCTTTTTTAAGTTCAAATACATCTTCAGCATGATTAGATGAACTTGCAGGATCACTTGAACGCACATTTAGATCATTTTCTTGATTCTTATCTCCAAATAACTTTGCAAAAAGTAGATCCTTCGCCCAAACGATACAGTGAACAAACTGGAAAATTCACACAACCATATTAGACCACAGAAAAACAAAAGCAGAAACTCATAATATTGAACTTCATAGATTAAATAAATAGTAGAAACTAAGGATTGACTGCACCACCCGAGGAAAAATATGTAATCTAGCAACCAATCAATGCCTCTATGAGGTGAGCCTTGACAATGAATCAAGCTATGATCACACATTCTTTAAATATTCATCTGCCCAACTATTGAGGGTAGTAAATGAGTTGGTTGTATTAGCTATGGATGTTATTAAGCAGTCTCAGTTGTATAATTGTATTAGCAGTTCTAGCAGTAGTTTGTTACAGAGGCCAGCTGGTATATGTATCCTTGTTAATATTAATTACTGATAACTACAGCTTAGTCACTCAGTAATTGTATTAGTTCTCTCTATGACTTGCCCATTTATGAGAGCGTTCCTTTTCATATACTTCGTCACGGTGGGTCTTATCCAACCTCATCGTTTTTTTTTTTATCAATATGCACTTTTCCACAATTTGTATAATGCTAGTTACCAAGCCATCATTAGATCTATACTTGAGTAAAATCGAACTCACGTAACAACCCGATCAGACGTAAGAAACACTTGAACCAGAGGAAGTACAACCAAGAACATAAATGGATGATGTAAGATCTCTGAGAAGACTAGTAGACTGCTGAGGAAAACAACATAGGAATCATAACCCTTGTTACTACCTTTGACGGAGTACTAGTAATGGTACAGACAGGATACGTTTTTGGTGCTGGTTTTGGCTGGCACTCATAGCACTCTGTTCTTCCCTTGACATGGACTGTGACCTGCGCCAAAGTTGTAAACAAATAGTTCAAGCAGGGGGAAAAACACCATGAATATTTATAATGCTGAAGTAACATTCAAGTCGTAGAGTAGAGATGAGTGCAATTAGGCCTCATTAATATTTATACTTGGGACTCTACTAGATTTTTCTTTATAACTATTAGTATTTGAGGCGACTTACGTCCACCTCGACTAATTTCATGAATACCTTTAAGATCTACTCAAATCTTCACATGGTTCCAAAATTGTAATCATCTAGTGCTCACTTTGGAGGATAAAAGGAGGAACTTCCACAAATCTCTCTTTGAAAATCCACAAAAAATAATTTGAAGCATTGCTCCCACAAAACTACATTTGAAAAGTTACCAGCATATTTTCCAACTTTACCAATTCATATTAATTCCTTTAAACATTAACTAGAATGAGTCTTGATGAGCATCAGTACTCTATATCATATGTAGTTCAAGGAATGGCAAGGGAGATACATTACAACAAAATAATTTTTTTGGAAAGCAGAAAAACTAAGTACTTCACCTCACTAAACATTGCTGTGCCTATGTTTCCAAAATTTTTTTTTTTTTTTTTGATAAGAAACTTAATTTATAGGATGTTTCCAAAATTATAAAAAATGCATAAGCAAGGATGTGATAAGTTTCATATGCATAACTATTCAAAATACAAAGTTTCTTGTCATGCATATTAAAAAATATAAGATCACCTGTCCAAGGAATCCAGTGGTCCCACTTTCAACTAAGGGAACATCAGCTGCCAAGCACAGACGATTCACATGTCGCCTCGCATCTAAGTTGTCAAGTCCATTCAAAACAACACTAAATTGCTTAAAGAAATCTACATTAAATTCTTGATTCTTGACATTTGCATGATATGACGTAATGCTAGCATGAGGTCTAAATCTTAATACAGCATCTCGAGCAACCTAACATGAAAAAATAAAACATCTGTAAGAAGTTCAAGAACAGAAACTGCATTGCCATCGTGAGATGAAAATGAAATTTTCCTAACCTCGGCCTTTGATTGCCCTACATGAGATTTTCGGAATAAAAATTGTCGGTTCAAGTTGCTCACTTCTATGGTGTCCATGTCAATCTGCAAAATAGAATTTTATTTGATAAGTCGATCTGCAAATAGTATTAAGCAATGCACATGAGTATATAGAAAAAGAACCACGCCTAAGTCAAACCTACAGTAGATGAACCACCATAGGCCACGTTCAATATTGTTCTTTTGAACCTCTAAAAGTGATTTTTTAGCAATTTCAATGTACACTGAAAAAATTATAGTACATATCAGCCCTTTCAGTTAAAAAAAAATGTATTGGTACAATTAGTAGAGGTTCCAAAGTACATTTTCACTTGCAATACAAACAACTGAAATAACTAACATTTATTTATTACAGTAAACCCGTCMTTATTAGAATACAAATATCAAGCATTTACATATAAACCTGAACACATCGATCAAAAAGAGAAGAATATCCAAGGAATCTCCAAGAATGGAGGTTATTATCAACAGAAAGAGAATAAATATCTTTAAAATCTTAGTTGTTACATAACTTGGTTTTCGAAAGAAGTAGCTCTCGACCATAAGATCGAAAAACTTTGCCAGGGATAAACAATTTCCATTGCCATAACACCAAGCGGCTTAAACATAATGCTTCTGTGAATAGATTAATTTCTCCTTTCCTCCCCCTTCTTTTAAAAGAGGGGATAATGACTTTTTTTTCTTTTTTTTCCAAAGGGACAATGAGATATTTTAAATCCAACAAAATTACCAAAATGGCAACAATTTCGATCCTGCAAATATTATTTTGCAAGGGAAACCTTCCACAAAATAATTTACAAAGAAACATCCTTCTACGAACAAAACAAAAGACAAGGATGACAAAGACAAATAACAATGTCCACCCGCAAACCTTATTGAGCCGAAAGAGACGCGCAAACATATTAACCCATTTAAACCCTAACCCACCAAATTCCCAGTACATTTATCGCCAAAGTTGAAACTCCGCAGCACAGAGGAAACAAAATTGGGAGAGAACAAAACCCAAAAAGCAGTGATCCTCAACAAAGAACCTAACAAAAGAGAAAAAAAAGAGGGAGAGAAAAGCCATATTACAATATGAATGTCCTGAAACCCCGAGAGAGCCAAGGTCTTGAGAAGCTCGCAGCCGATTCCACCCGCTCCAACCATGAGCACTTTGGCGCCCTACACACAGTAACCCAATTGAGATATGCATAAAAAACAGCCGAATTGAGTGGAGAAAGGAGATTCGAGAGAAAAATGGTTGATGGGTGAAGACCTTAACGGCGGATAACTGCTGCTGGGAAGCCATTGGAGGTGGGAATTGAGAGTCCAATGGAAAATTGACTTAGAGAAGACGCAAACAAGTGAGAAGGACCATACAAAACCACAGGGGAGAGTGAAGAGTGGTTTTTGGGTTGTGGGTTCTGGGATTTGGAAGAATCGAACGCGTAAGCAGTGGAAAAATATAAAGAAAGAATCGCCCAAGTGGTGAGCCCAAATGGGTTCTTGCAGAGGAGGGCGGCTGAATGAAGCGCCAAATAATAAATGGAAATTACATATAAAAAACGAAGTCAGAGCCTTCAACTCTGAAGAAGCTTTCGCTATATATATTCTCTCTTTTTCTTTTTTTTTTTTTTCCCTTTTTCTTCCTGAGATTGTGTTTGGAATCGAAGTTAGGTTGAGCTCAGCAAATTTCAACCGACTACTTGTCGGCTTCTTCTTCTTCTTTGTTTTTTTTTTTTCCTCCCTTCTAAATCATCAATCATGTCTCTTTAATTAATTTGGGAAAATATTTTGATTTTGATTTTTAATTGGATTTCTAGTCCTTTTAAAGTTTTGTTATGGTCTTTTAAAGTTTTTAATTACCTCCTACCAAGTTTAAGAAATGATTTGAAATCTAAGAAATAATTTTAAGAAATAATTTTAGATTATTTATTTTGTTGGAGATGAGAGGAATTTGAGATTAATATAATAAATTTTCTTTATTGCTAGAAATAAAAAAATAAATAATAAATAATCTATTGCTTTTGACATTTTATATCAATTTATTAATCAAATTAAAATGTGACAGTCTATGAAATCTTATAAAATCAAATCATTTCTTAGTTATGAATTTTTTTTACTTGAAAGCACGATTTGAAATCATGTGTTATATTTCATGGGATGATAAATAGCAAAATTAATTTGAAATCCAATAAAGACTTAAAATTATTATACCAAATATACCCGTGGTGTTTATTAAATTATGTTAAAAAGTTGCAAATTTGAGAGTTTTCTCTCTATTATATATACAATATTATGATGATATATTTTACTAACTTCTGTAACATTTTGGTGGGAGTCGATTGTATTAAATCGTTAAACTAGGTTCAAATTGATTTAATTATCTTCATGTGTGTTTATGTCAAGCAAATGGGAAGTAGTAATAAAAATAATGAAAGATAATTCATTCTTTTAATATAGATAATAAAATCTCTATTAACTATTATGTRCAATCATGGGTTTTTGCCTATTGTGTACAATCTTTAAAGGAAATGGTCAGATGTCTCACCTTATTGCCCCTGCTGCAAAAACAAGATGGAAACTACAGCTCATGCCCTATTGAACTGCTTTTTGGGTCCAGCATCTATGGTCTACCGTTCTCCCTTTTGCACCTTGTCCGGCGAGTTTGAATGTTCCATTCCCTTATCAATGGGAGAGATGACAGATGGAGCTTAGTAAATCTAAAGTAGAAATTGTAGCGATCACATGTTGGCCCATTTGGAATGATCGAAACTAAATCATTCAAGATGAGCCAATTCTTGAAGTCTTGCCTTGTACTGGGTTTCATCTCGACAAGCTTTATGTTCTCCAACGTCAGCTCCGCATCGGAGAACAACAATTGCCAATTGGAGTCTGGACACGGTAGGACTGAAATTAAATATTGATGTTGCGTGTGGAGTTAATTCGACTGGGTTAGGCTTCCTTCTTTGTGATGAATCTGGCCGTTTATTGGCAGCATGATGTCGGTCGGTACCTCTTCCTTACACACCTTTACTTGTTGAGCTTCTGGCCATTCGTGAAGGTCTCTACTTCGCAATTTCTCTGGGCTATTCGCATTTAACAGTTGAATCGGACTATCTCACAGCCATTTCTCTTCTTCGAGGTGATTTGGAAACCCTCAGTCCTGAACGGATTTGGATTCACGACATCGGTGCTCTTGCTCTCGATTTAGATGCCTGCGACTTCATGCATGTTCTCTGGGAAAGCAACCGTTCGGCTGACATCTTGGTTAAACAGAGTCTTCATGCCTCTAGTTCTTCTTTGTGGACTTGTAACTTTTCCTTTTGGCTTATTCCTATCTTTGAAAGGGAAAGTCCTACCCCTCTTGTTGCTTCATGGCCGTTGATTCTTAATGAAAGCACTATTTACTTAAAAAAACAAAAATAATGAAAGGTGAGTTATTTATGGTTAAATTTCAAAAGAAGCATGCTATCCAAACAAAATCAAGATAAATAATTAAAAGTTAATGGAATTTATTGGCTGTGCTCCTAAACAACATTAGTTTTAGCCCGCTTTGTCTCTTTCAACTGTCTCAATGGTTTAAACCGTAACCCAAATTTAAGTTACCTAAATTTATGATTTTATATTCAAGGAGTTGATTAATTTAAGACTTGTTATTACTAAAACAAATTTACTTTACGAAGCTGATCTAATTGGTATCAATTTCTGACTAAGAGGTTATAAGTTTGAATCCTCTTATTTTCATTTAGTCGTGATCTTTTGATCGAACGTAAGTGTTTTAACCCGTTAAATTATGCTCAAATTAGCAATACCTTTTAACAATAACTAAAGCGTAGAGTTTTTAACTTTCAATATACTCTATGTTATAGTTATAAGTAAGAAGTAAATGGATGAGTGTGACATACAAATGGTAAATAATAATGTTTTACATTTCAATAAAATTATTTATGTACATAACATTTAATGTTAATAAAAGCTACTCATATAAGTATTTGAATAGTTAATGTAATAAACCAAACGAAAATTGGAAAAAAAAAATAGTGATTTGAAAACGTAAATCTAAAAAAGAAGAATTCAATCAAAAATAGAGTTTGTGTTATTTGTTTTCAATGTGTTTTTGATATGTGTTATTCGGTAAATTTGAAAATTGTTTGTATATTAGTATTGAATTTAGTATATCATAGTTGATTGCACCACGAGCAGGATGGAACCATATACCCACTACATGAGTAGAGGATATCAGGTTGAAACTTATGATTCAAAGATAAAGTCATAGATTATTGGACATCTTGTAGAGTGACTCTCAATGAAGACATTGAGACTTTTCGAAAAAAAATGTTTTGTTTGGCTTAATCCGCACTAAATATCAAGGAGTACAAGCGTACTCCGACTAATAAGGAAAATGTATTTTTTTTTTCTAATCTAAGTTTGACTATGATGAGATCCTTTTCGCAAGCACTAAAAAAACAAGCTACCTTATGTAATGTGAAAAAAAAAACTAAGGAAAATAACGTCGAGTAGAAACGAACAAGATCTCACGACACAATCAAGTTACCAACTAAATATTTAGTTAATATAAAATTACATTAATGAATTTATTAACATTTTCATTATAAATTATTTTACAATATTATATAATTTGAAATATATTATATTTTAAGACCAACATTAGCTTATTTATCTCAAAAAAAAAATCTGAATCTCCACCTCAAAAATACACATTTTAAAATTTTAAATTAAAAAGTTGAAAACACTAAAAAATCAAAAAACCAATCCAAATTGAAATTCAAAAGTTGATAAAACAAATAATACTTAATGGTTTTCATTTAAGTTAACTTTACTTAAATTATTGTTTGAGTTGATTATAAACTAAAATTCATAAGCTAAATTATAAATTAAAATTTATCAATTAAGTCTTTTTTTTTAATATAACATATTGGGGATAGAGATGGGAGATAGGAATCGAATTCACTAGAGATATGCCAATTAACGATGCTCACCTCGAGAAATCGAGAACAAATGGGGATGGAAAAATTCGAATTCAGAAATATATACTTTTTTTGTCCCATCTTCTCCATGGGTTGGCCGGAAAGCTGAAGTTATTACTTATTTGGACTGAATCGGCGATGACAGGTACTCAAACAGTCACAATTTAACGAACTCAAATTTGTCCACGTCAGCCACTTTCTTTCGTCAAACCCTTCAAGCGAGGTCCACGTCGCAGGTTTTCGGAAATCCCAGCAGGAGTTTTGGATTTCAAGAAGAGTTGTCATCGGTGAAATCGAGGTCTAGAATCGAAGGGTCTTCTACGTTCTACAGCAACATCTTTTTCTTTTTGGTTGAAGAGTTGGAGGCTTGTTTTGAAACTTTGAAGCTCTGGTTCTTTTCAAGAAGGTTTTAAGCTCTCTTCTAGGTTCTTTTGGGTTGTATTTTTCTGCTTGGGTTCTTGTTTTTCCTGCTTTCTTTTCTGTTTTTTGTTTTCTCTCTCCTGATTGTACCCTTTAAACAATTTGTTAATTTTCATTAACTAACGAGGAGTTTGCATCGGATCCCCTTGAACTTAAAAATGATTTATAACATAAGTGGGCTATGAATATTGATATGGTTATCGGACTCGAATGCTGTCTAAAAAATGGGATTAGAGCATCAAAAGAGCCACCATCTTTTAAGAAAAAACATGACAATTGATTGTAATTTGGAGTATCTTTTTCGATAATTTTTTTTCTGATATTTAATTTCCAGTTGAGGAGATGTTTGTCTAATATTGGTGTAGATCTTCAATTATTAATGAAGAGTTTGTTTGTTGTTAAAAAAAATCCTAATTATATATGTGATAAGTTGAATTGTACATCTATGTTTCATTTATTATGGTCAACACTATTGATATTCATGGTTCTATCTCAAAATCAATTAGCTGTGGGAGGAGTAGGCTAGGTCTATTATAAATCATTCTAAAGTTCATTTTCTTTTCAACGTGTCGTGGAAGGAGTAGCCTAGGTCTATTATAAACCATTCTAAAGTCCTTTTTTTTTTCAACGTGAGATCCTTAACATGCCCCTTCAAGATCGTGACTCTTTTGGCTCATCCGATCCTATTTTTGGATCGGATGTTCGTTTGAACGTTTTGGGTTCTGATATCGGCCATGTCAATATTTATGAGATTCCATCTCAAAATCAATTGGCTATGAGAGGAATAGCCAATATCTATTATAAATCATTGTAAGGTCCATTTTCTTTTCAACGTGGATCCTTAAAAAACACTCGAAATCTTTGGGAATGGAGCTTTAAATATGGGGGGCTTATATTCTTGGTTTGAAACTTTGGTGATGGATTTCACTTTTTCCAAGGAAACTCTTCGTTACAATTTATTTCGTAGATGATGTGTTCTTTGTTGGGATAAACACTTAAATTTATGGATCAATTATCCCCTCCTGTATAAACCTGGTAGGAAATAGCAAATAAAAATAATAATCCAAGCAAGCACAGGACACAAACAATTTACGGACCGAAGTCAAAATCTCCACTATAATCAATAATGGGTACACCAAGTCCTCCCTAGCAACAACTAGAGGCACAACTCCAAAAGAAATCTCCATCGTCCAGATTGAAGACCCTCGTGTTATAAACATGCTGTCAAAATTCTGTACGGAATTGAATTTCTTTTCCTTTTTCTTTTCTGTTTTCTGTTTTCTCTCCTCGATCTGCGTGCATAGATTTTCCCTCTCTCTCCTCAATTGAGTTTTTGACCGACTGCAACCTTTTATATATATAAACCCTGAAATATCAATGGCCCACGTGGGCCTTAAAGTTGTGTGCTTTTCACAAAAATACCCAACACTCTTATTGTTTTTTGTTGTAATTCTGTCCATGTTCTTCTAGGACATGGATGCTCCTGTAGATTCATGTGAAATCCAAGTTCTGTCTTTAGTCGTGTGAACTCATACGTGCTATTGCTAAAATAAATTAAAATATCATGGCCCATTTATCACTTTGGTTGCAATTTTTGCAGTTGCTTCAGATTGATGAATACTATGGATGTGGCACTGATATTTATTAACCTTGAGTCTCAAATGTGACATCTGAGAATGGAATAGACATATGTGAATGAAGCTTTTCTGGAGATTATACTTGCATTGCAAATAGTAAGCGTGAAAGATGAATATGTTGGAAGAAGAAATCAAGTATCCACAGGCTAGACCATTGGTTGTGCTTCCGAAAGGAATCTTGGCTACATGGAAAAGGGAGTTTCAGATATGGCAAGTGGAAGATATTCCACTCTATGATTTCTATTCTGTTAATGCAGATAATAGGTCTCAACAGCAGGCAGTGCTCAATCAGTGGGTCGAGCACAAGAGTATTCTGTTCTTAGGATACAAACAATTTTCCTCAATCGTCTGGGACGTTGAAACTAGTGCTACATCATCTGCATGTCAAAATATGTTGCTCAATGTTCCTATGATTTTTATTCTAGACGAGGGGCGTACTCCAAGAAATGACAGCACTGATATTATGCAAACTCTTGCTAAAGTCAGAACTCCACGAAAAGTGATTCTTTCAGGAGCCCTATATCAAAATCATGTTAGAGAGGTATTCAATATAGTGAATCTTGTTCGACCAGAGTTCATGAGATCAGAAACTTCTCAATCTATCATCAAGCGCATCATGTCGAGAGTCGATATAGCTGGTGCGCGGAAGCAGGTCGAAGCAGGAGGGGTTGCTGCTTTTTACGATTTGGTGGAACACACGCTTCAGAAGGATACAGATTTCAGGAGAAAAGTGACTGTCATCCATGATTTATGTGAGATGACCAGCAAGATCCTTCACTATTATAAAGGAGATTTCCTGGATGAGCTCCCTGGACTGGTTGACTTCACTGTGGTACTAAATCTCACCTCTAAACAGAAGCATGAAACTGAGAAAGTTCAAAAGCATTATAACAGGAATTTCAAATCAAGTTCTGCTGGTAGTGCTGTTTACTTGCATCCAGAATTAAATGCTCTCTTTTAATGAAGCTGTCGTGACTGATGATAAACTAGATGAGGTCATTGAGAAATCAGATGTTAAAGATGGAGTGAAGGCAAAATTCTTTCTCAACGTGCTGAATTTGTGCGCTTCTAAAGGGGAGAAGCTGCTGGTTTTCAGTCAATACTTCCTTCCTTTGAAGTTCATGGAGAGATTGGTTGTGCAGAAGAATGGTTGGATTCCAGGAAGAGAAACCTTTATGATATCTGGTGCAACAACTCCCGACCAAAGGGAATGGTCTATGGAACGTTTCAATAGCTCGCCTGATGCTAGAGTCTTCTTTGGCTCCATTAAGGCTTGTGGGGAGGGCCTATCTCTGGTAGGAGCATCACGTGTCATCATCTTGGACGTTCATCGTAATCCGTCGGTCGCCCGCTAAAGCAATTGGTCATGCATTCCGTCCTGGCCAACCAAAGAAAGTGTTTGCATATAGATTGGTAGCTGCTGAGTGCTGATTCACCTGAAGAGTTAGATCACAGTACTTGCTTCAATAAGGAGCTGATTGCAAAGATGTGGTTTGAAGGGAACGAATGCTGTGGCTATCATGACTTTGAAATGGAAACTGTTGACGTGAAAGAGTGTGGTGATGATTTTCTTGAAACCCCACTTCTAAGTGAAGATGTCAGAGTTTTATACAGAGGGAAAGCCCACTGTTTATCATCCTCCATTGAGCTACTTCAGTTCTAAAGTATGTTTTACTGACATTCTACTCTTTGCTATTTTGTGGGTTTTTAGATGGAGGAAAATACTAGAATCTTTAGGGTTGGAGAGAGCCTGGTGCTACGTTTGGGAGCTCGTTAGATTTACTATCTTGTGTTGTGAATTTCGAAGTTGTTTTGAAATGATCGGTTAAGAGTTATCCTCTTGAATTGAAGCTCCTTTCTCTAGGCGGGTCTTCTGTTGTAGGACTGGTTTTTTCGGTATGCTCTTTGTATATTTCTTTATAAAAAGTTCGGTTGTCGTTKAGAATAAAGTTATGGAGTTACAGGTTACCCTTGGATAAGAATTCCATCTTCAGATGTGGAATTTATGGAGCCAAAAATGAAGTTCTTATGAACTGAATATAGGACTTGCAATTTGGGTGTGAGCTGAAACTGAAAAATCGATGGACAGAACTGAATTGGTTCAGTTGGTTGAATATATCAGTTCAGTTTTTTAAATTATAAAACTGAAAAACAGTTGGTCAGTCTGATTTAGATAGATGTTTTCTGTTTCCCTTTTCGATTAGAAAAAAAAAACAAAAAGGAAAAAGTGTAAAAAGGTTCCGTTGCTTGTTTGTTATGTGTTTGTCTTTAGTGATGGATGACAAAAAAATGTTTGATTTAATAAGTTAATTATAAAATTTGAAAAAGAAAAACTTGGAGAGAAATAATGAAAGTTCTTATTATTGTTTTTTAGTAAAACACGTGTGTGTGAGAAATTCGAACATGTGATATATCGATGAATATATATGTCTTAACTATTAAACCCATGACATTTTAATACACCTCTGACATATTGGTGAATATATATGTCACATTTTAGTACACTCCGGGTGTGTGGAGAATTGATGCACGTCATGAAAAGCGTATTGGCATTTTAGCTGCTTTTCTATAGTCTATAATTTTCTAACAATAGAGTTTGCTATTTTACTATACTAGTGTGTTATTAAAATTAATGACATTCCATAAAGCTCATCTATCACATCCATAAATAATTGGCATCCATAACTATTTTACAATGTCGAATTTTATTATCTTTCATTATCATTATGGTTATTCAATGGCTTTTAAGTTGTAATCAATGAAATTGTTTTCTTAAAAAAAAAATCAATGAAATTGTGATAAAACTTTAAAATCATGTTAACCAATTAGACATTTAGGGTGCGTTTGGTTGGTAATTAGAAAACACAGAGTTGTATATTTGTTTTCAATGTTTTCAAATATGTGTTTGGTAGAAGATTTGATAATTGAATTTCAATTTAAAAAATTGTTCAATGTTTGTTTAGCAATATATTTATAAACTAGAGGTAGTTACACACTAAATTTTAATTTAATATAGACTTATATTAATTAATTTATTAATTTTTTTTATGAATTTTGTATAATTATTATTTTACAAGGTTATATAATTTAGAATACATTATATTTTACGTGTTTCAATTTTAACAAGCATAAAATGAGTTTATAATATGAAGTAATATATTTTATTAAAGTTTTTATCTTTTTAGTGTAATTCTGCATCTTAAAAATTTTAAATTCTGAATCTGAAAACACTGAAAACATAAAAAAAATCGTTTTAATTTCTACTTTTTGGATCATAGAATTCGAAAACAGTTTTAAAAAACGAATCTCAAAAATTATGCCAAACGCGTATTCCCTAGATACAGAATTCAATGAATCTGAAAACAAAAAATAGAATATGAGTTTCCAACCAAACGTGCCCTTACCATTTGAGCAGTAAAAGATGTAATTTAACCTAAGTAGTAAAAGATTTATTATTCTAGCCTCTAGGTTAAATATTGGCTTTTGCCCTTTGAGTATTATGTATTTTACATTTTGGTCCTTAATTTTTACAACATTCGTTTTTGTTTCCAAACACTTGTGTTTCATTCCTTCGGTTTTTTAAAATATTTAATTTTGGCCATCCAATTTTCAATACTTTATAACATTTAATAACTCAAGTATAGGCTTTTTGACCTTCAATATACTCTATGTTATACCTAGAAGAAAGAAGTAAATGGGTATGACATAAAAATGATTTGGGTACATAATGATGTTACACATTTTCAACAACTTACCATAAAATTATTTCTGAACCGAACATTGAATGTTAATCTCAAATAAATATTTGAATGGTTAATGTAACAAACCAAATGAAATTTTGACAAAAATTGAGGGGCAATTGAAATTCAGAAGTTTTAAAAATAAATTCCATTTTAACAACTCTTTTCAATTTTGTTTTCTCTTAAATTAAATAAAATAGTAAAATTTAGGTTAAAAAATATTCTTGGTCCATAATAACAATTTAGTCTCTAAACTTTTTGTAACGATTTAGTTTTTATACTTTTAAATTGGTGGCAATTTAATCCATTAACTTTAGTATATAACAATTTAGTCCACATTGTGAAAAATCTCACCAAAATTAAGTCGATTTTTATTAGGTAATGATTAGTATTTGTAGTTCAATAAACACAGTTGGTATATTATCATTTTATCGAGGAGCAGAACTACAGTGCGGCCCCCATCTTTGATATATCGTCCCCAATCTTTGAAATATCATATTATATACTAAAAAATAGGCTTATGTTTAACAAAATTCTCATTTGGCGTTGGCATGCATCCTAGCCTCCCTTGCACGAGCGGTAGACACTATAAATGTGCTTGTTCTCCCTTCTTCTTTACCATGACAAATCTGTGTGAAATAACTACGACGAAAAGAAAAAAGAAAACATTAAGAAACTCTACTATCCCAACCCTAGACACTCTAAGATTTTTATTCAAACATAATCTCATTTCGAGGTAAGAGATAGATAAATAGACACGTCTCATTGCACGAATAGGAGGTATTTGTAGTGACTGAGGAGGTCGTCAACCAAAAAACTAGTTATTTATCAACCAAACGTTCTTCCTACAGTAGATCCAATCTCTTGGTCCCTACAAAAGAAAGGTCGTTACAAATTTTAAACTATAAAACTAAATTATTATATACTAAAATTCACTATCTAAATTGTTAAACTATAAAGATAAAATAGTTATAAACTAAATTTCAGGCACTAAATTGTTACTCTCGTAGAAACACTAAATGATTTTTAACCTAAAATTAACCCCCGCCAGCGGGTCGTCGGAGTCGGAAAGGTGAAGTTATTTGGATTGAATCGGCGAGGACGTGTACTCAAACCGTCACAATTTTAACGAAATATGATTGGACCACGTCAGCTCATTTTCTTTCGTCAACCCTCAAGCGAGCTCCTGAAACGGCGCCGTTTTGCACTCTCAAGAACGTCCTCGTCTGAGCAGCGACCAGCGGAGCCCTCCTCCTGCCCTGCTCCCATTTCCTTCGTCCCACTGATACTCTGATTCTCTCTCTCTCAATTCTGAAGTTGAAGCGACAAAAACAAGATCGTCATCAAGTCAAATCAAAATGTGAGTCAATTTCCCTCTTAATTAGACCCTTAATTGATTCCAATTGGGGTTTTCTAACTGCGCTCTTAGTTTCTTCCCCCGCTCCGATTGATCAATTTGACACCCTGCGAGCTCCTCCAGGTCAGTACTAGTTTTATGCACTCAAGTCGCGAATTCTCTTCTGTTTTCTCTTTTATGAAATGTAATCTTCGCTTTCTTTTGTTTGTGAAAATGTTCAGTGTTTTCTGAACTTGAACACCCAT